CATTCCACCAGTTCAAATGCTGATCTCATCTGGAAGCACCTCACAGACATGCCCAGAAATCTGGGAGCCTCTGGGCTCCCCCTGGCCCTGTCAGGTTGACACATAAAATTAACCACCATGGCTACTATGAACATTTGCATACAGGTTTTTGTGGGAAGCAGGGCTAATTTAAGACACTGGTTATTTTTTTTTGTTATACGTTAAGTTCTGGGGTACATGTGCAGAATGTGCAGTTTTGTTGCATAGGTGTACATGTGCCATGGTGGTTTTCTATTTCTTCAACTACCTTTTTGGTACATGAGTGTTTTGTTATTTCAAGTGTTTTACACTTATGTTGCAAGTCTTCTATATAGATGTAAGATTTAATAAAATCATTTATTTATTTATTTATTTATTTATTTATTTTCTGAGACATAGTCTCACTTTGTCACCCAGGCTGGAGGGTAGTGGCATGATATCGGCTCACTGCAACCTCCACCTCCCGCATTCAAGCAAGTCTCGTCTCAGCCTCCTGAGTAGCTGGGACTACAGACACACGCCACCACGCCAGGCTAATATTTTTAGTAGAGAGAGGATTTCACCATGTTGGCCAGGCGGGTCTTGAACTCCTGTCTCAAGTGATTCACATTCCTTGGCCTCCCAAAGTGCTGGGATTGTAGGCATCAGCCACTATCTCTGGCTTTGCGAAATAGAAAAGTTCCTTTTTAAAGTTTCCTTTCTTGTTAAAGAATAAGTGTGCTAATAACTTTCTTAAGCTCTATCTTATCTAGCTGTTAGATGTACCATGCTTGCAAGTGGTAGTGCGTTCTATGTCCTTGTACTTCAACCAAGATATCTGTGCCGGATGTGCTCACAGGCATGTCCCGGCTCTCCATTGCTTTTATCTGTTTAGAAAAGTTTTAAGCTGTTAGCCAATCAGGTTTTAGTTTAGAATAGATTGTGAGGTCTGGCTTCAGCCAACGGAGATCAGACACAGCAGCAAGGATAACCCAAAAAAGGGATAAATTTATGTGTTTTCCTTTGTTCATTGTACTCTTGTAGCATGATGGCTATCGAGGGTACCCTTCCTGCAGTCCAGGAAGTAAAAAGTGCATTGCTGAAAGATCTTTTGTCTAAGTGCTAATTTTCCTTTGCTGCACTGAGCATCTATTTCCAACAAATTGGCGCCCCAGATGGGACCCATTCCCCTCCAGAGTGGTCTTCAGCCGAGACCCACCCGGTGTGAGGAATAAATCAACCTCGTCTCTCAGCAATGCGGGGGTGGGGAGGGGCCTTCAAGCTTTGGTCAAAATTCTAAAGGTTAAGTACATGTAAGTGTGCATGCGAGAGAGCAGTGTGAGTGGTTTCTCTCTGCAAAATCTGTAATTGTTTCCTATGGACTAGAAATTGGAGCGAGCAAAGTGAAAATAAAGAGAGGAGTGAGAGAGACCTCTGAAAGGGCAGGAGGGTGTAGTTAGAACCCTCCCCTGGAAAAAGAAAGGTAACAGGTAGCCAAGATCGCTCCAGAGGAGCCCCAGTAAAGGCCCCCTAAGGTGGCAGCAGTGGTGCTGGTGGCTGGGCCAGCCACTTGTTGGGGTGGGGCCCAGGGAGGTGGAGGTCAGAGGCATACAAAGCGCTCTGAGTGGCAGTGCGCTGCGGGCGTCAGGGCTGGGAGTCGGGAAGCAGCACAGGTGGCACTGGAAGCGGTGAGTGGCCTGCATGCAGATGGCAGTGGTGGGGGTCGCCTGCAAGCCCACTGGCTGTGGCCAGGGGTGCCACAGAGGCAGCAGGAGAGGCTGGAACAACCTGGTTAAACAGCAGCAGCAGCCGTGAGAGGGTCCAAGGTTGTGTGCTGGAACTTTGTGGGGCAGACGGGCACAGCACCTGTGCCAGCAGGGGAGGAGGCCAGCAGCATGAGCAGTGCAGCCCAAGGCAAGCCCCACTCCGACCAGCAAAATAGAAAAAGGAAAGTTGAGGGATGTTGACAAATTGTAAAAGTAAGTGCGCGTGAAAGAGAGAGAAAGAGACAGGAAGTAAAACTAAAGAAAAAAATAGTGTCAAGAGAAAAGAGAGAAGCTTTTTCTTTTAAAAACTCAGGCAGAACAACTAAGCCAAAACGTGTTAAAAAAAGTGTAAACAAGAAAATTATAAAGTAAAAGAGGAGGGAATTGTGGGAAGTAGAAAATTTCCTTTTTAAAGTTTCCTTTCTTGTTAAAGAGTAAGTGTGCTAATAGCTTTGTTAAGCCCTATCCTATGTAGCTGTCAGACACGCCATGCTTACAGGCACGTAGTGCATTCTATGTCCTTGTACTTTAACCAAGACATCTGTGCTGGATGTGCTCACAGGCATGTCCCAGCTCTCCACTGCTTTTACCTGTTTAGAAAGTTTTAAGTTGTTAGCCAATCAGGTTTTAGTTGTGACTATGAGGTCTGGCTCCAGCCAGCAGAGATCAGACACAGCTGTAAGGACGATCCCAAATGCGTAAGAGAAAAATTTATGTGTTTTCTTTTGTTCATTGTACTCTCGCAGCACAATGACTAGTGAGGGTACCCTTCCTGCAGTCCAGGAAGTAAAAAGTGCATTGCTGAAAGATCCTTTGTCTCAGTGCTTATTTTTCTTTGCGGCACCGAGCATCTATTTCCAACATCACCAAAGCCCATTAAAATTATATGTAGTCCAAGATATTCCTGGCATATACACAGAAAGATAACATGGCCTCTAGAAAGGGGAACTGGATGGCTGGGGGCTGGAGGTGGGGAGAATGGCGGCTTATCTTTCATTTTATAGCCTTTTATAAAATTAAAAAATATATGAAGAGTATATGTGAACAAAAATGAAAGTATTCCAGGCTATAGCCCTAGAGCTCACCAGCAGGCTGGGTATGTGATCTGCCCCACCCTGTTCTCTGTCAGTAGAACTTTGGACACCTTTCTTGCTCAGTGTGGACAGTAGGGAGACAGCAGAATTCTGAGTCCACCAGCACTTTTTTTTTTTTTTTTTTTTTTTTTTTTGAGACGGAGTTTCGCTCTTGTTACCCAGGCTGGAGTGCAATGGCGCGATCTCGGCTCACCGCAACCTCCGCCTCCTGGGTTCAGGCAATTCTCCTGCCTCAGCCTCCTGAGTAGCTGGGATTACAGGCACGCACCACCATGCCCAGCTATTTTTTTTGTATTTTTAGTAGAGACGGGGTTTCACCATGTTGACCAAGATGGTCTCGATCTCTTGACCTTGTGATCCACCCGCCTCGGCCTCCCAAAGTGCTGGGATTACAGGCTTGAGCCACCGCGCCCGGCCTCCACCAGCACTTGATTTGCAGACACTCCTTTCCTGTGGCTTCTGGAACAGATTTTCTGACATTCTGAACAGCTTGGATTTGGCGAAAAGCCACAAGTCCCAGCACGAGTACAGTGACGTTCCTTCCCACTCCACGCTGCACAGTCTGCTCGGTCATTGTGCCAACCCACCTGAGATCCCGTTGGCAGACCGCACATGGAAGTCCTCCTGCCCAGGGGAACGGTGTGATGTTGATGCAAGGGCAGGGCATGCAGAGGACAAACTGAGGTTGCCAGGCTGGAGGTCAGCCACTCAAAAGATGATCGGGAAGCTCGAGTGGGGACCGGCCCAGAGGAGAAAATTAGTTAAGCCAAGCCCACTCTCTCCCTCCAGGAGGAATGCTTTGGAGATTGTCTCACTGAAACTCAGAGGAGAATGGAGTGGAGGTGCTGAGAGAGGCACCATTCGAGTAAGACCGTGTGGGCTGAGGGAGTAGCTGGTCATTCGGAGCTGCTGTGGCTCCCAAAGAGTTTTCCAGTTCGGGCTCCAGTCCATCTGCATCCCCACACTAAAGATCTTTGTTTGTTTATAGCCTGAAGAAGGTAAGTCACTGGTCCTTGCTTTCCTGCCCCCCATGCTCCACAGTGAGGATGCTCAGCTCCCCCCAGCCCCACCCACTCCTTCCTGTCCAGTTTGCTCAGGACCCAACAGCTATATGTCAATGTCAGAAGATAAACTTATTTGGAGGTTGGGGGGATAAGCATGCAGGTGCCTCAAAGAAGCAGCCTCTATACATCCAATAATGGGTTTTGTTAACAAATTTCCATTTGTTAAGGAATGAGTGTTTCTGAACTGTGGATGAGAGGCAGAAAGGGGAGTGGTGTTTTTTTTTTTTTTTTTTTGGTTTTGTTTTTTTGAGACAGAGTCTTGCTCCGTTGCCCGATCTGAAGTGCAGTGACGCGATCTCAGCTCACTAAAACCTCCACCTCCCCGGTTCAAAGTATTCTCCAGCCTCAGCCTCCCAAGTAGCTGGGATTACAGGCACGCACCACCACGTCCAGCTAATTCTCGTATTTTTAGTAGAGATGGGGCTTCACCATGTTGGCCAGACTGATCTTGAACTCCTGACCACAGGTGATCCACCCGCGTCAACCTCCCAAAGTGCTGGGATTACAGGCGTGAGACACTGCATCTGGCCTGGAGTGGTTTCTTTCTATACTGCTGTCCAAGCAGGCTCACTCTGTTTCCAGGGTCCAGGAATGTGCCTCCAATACTATGGTTTGCCTAGGGCCATTTGCCTAGGGTTTGAGGTTGGTAGAAATGTTTGCATGTCCTGGCAATGATCATTCTCAATTTGGAGGCATGAGTCTCAGTCTCTCTGGGGCTCCTCTCTCTCTTTTGAAATGTTTCCCCCATGGTCTCCATCTGGGCATCCTGCCTTGCCCCGGAACCCACTGGATCTTGCTTGTTCCACCTGAAACTTGGTGATTATCAACTGTGCCCCTGACTACACTACCACCAAGTCCTCCATCTATATCATGAACTCTGATTTCTCTTGCATCTGGTTGATTTTCATATCTCTTTTCCTACTTGATATGTGCCCTGCCCCTTGTTTGAAGACAGGGAACGTTTTACATGAACCTTGATCTTGTTTGCTTGGGCTGGGCCATGGGGAAAGCGAAACTCAGACCTAATTTAAGGGTGGACACAGAGTCAGCAAGACACAAGACAGCATCTTGACGGAAGGATGGCTTCGGTAAGTTCCCAGAAGGGTTTTTTTTTTTTTTTTTTTTGAGACAGAGTTTCACTCTTGTTACCCAGGCTGGAGTGCAATGGCGCGATCTCGGCTCACCACAACCTCCATCTCCTGGGTTCAAGCAATTCTCCTGCAGCCTCCCGAGTAGCTGGGACTACAGGCGTGCACCACCGTGCCCAGCTAATTTTTGTATTTTTTAGTAGAGACGGGGTTTCACCATGTTGACCAGGATGGTCTCGATCTCTTGACCTCGTGATCCACCCGCCTCGGCCTCCCAAAATGCTGGGATTACAGGCTTGAGCCACCGCGCCCGGCGCCAGAAGGGTTTTAAAGCTTTTCTTTGAGGAACAACCACCCTGTTAGTGGTGATTATGTGTATTCTCCTTGTTGGTCTATAGCCCTGGCACAGAGGGCACATGGGCACACACTGAGGCCTGGGGGTCTGGCTCTCTCAGACACAGTGGGAAGGAACCATGGTGCTGGGTTATAAGCCTGGAGGCTCCCCAGCCTCAGCGGCTGCGTGAGGTCTGCTTCTCCTGAGGTCAAAGTCTGGGTTTGCGCTTTTCCAATCCCTCCTGTGGCCACACTCCCAGTGGCTGTGCTGAGCCTCCCGAGGGCAGGAATGGTGGACTCAGGGAGAGCAGCCCTTGCTTCACCGTGCAGGCCACCTCCTCCGTCACACCATCCTCAATGGGTGGGGCGAACTGGGGAGGCAGGGTCCAGGGCAAGGACTCCCGCTGTGTGGGTGGGGTTGGGGGCTACCAGAAAGGGCTCTTTCTCCCTCACCTCCAGGCAGGGCCGGTCCCTCTACGTTCCCTCCTTCCCTCCAATCCCTTCTTAGGTTTCTTCTTCCTTCAGACCCAATAGCAGCCTCATTTCCTGAGTGATTTGGGGTCCAGATCCCATGCTAAACACTTTTATTTAATCCACATCAGGCAGTGAATAAGCAATCCTATGAAGTGGGCATAATTACTGCCAACTTCACAGATGGGGGAATGATATTTTGGCAAGTATTAGAGGGGAGTGCCCAAAAGGCAGGGAGGGAATTTGAGCTAAGGGGAGTCTGACTCTAAAGCTTCAACTTAAAAAAGATAGAACGTATTTAATTCCACAAGGAACATGTGAGCACATTCACCTTGTTTGAAAAACCAAAACTCTAGCCTGGGGAACATAGTGAGACCCCATCTCTACAAAAAATACTAAAATTAGCCAGTCTTAATGGTATGTGCCTGTAGTCCTAGCTACTTGGGAGGCTGAGGTGGGAGGATCGTTTGAGCTGGGGAGGTTGAGGCTGCCTGCGGTGAGCTGTGAGAGTGTCACTGCACTCCAGCCCGGGTGACAGATTGAGATCATGTCTCAAAAAAAAGCCAAAAGCCAAAAATCCAAACCAAAACCAAAACTATGAGCATAAAAGCTAAAGTCCCCTCCGGCCATCTTCCCAGCTGTACAGCCTGGTGTGTGCTCTTCCAAGTATTTTTCACTTGATCTTAGCCAAAAGGCCGAGAAGTGATTCTTCCAAGTATTTTTCTATGCTTTTGCAGACATATATGACTACCTTACAAGTATTAGTTTGTAGCTTTGGGGTTTGTTGTAGTTTTTTTTTTTTTTTTTTTTTTTTTTTTTTGAGATGGAGTTTCGCTCTTGTTACCCAGGCTGGAGTGCAATGGCACGATCTCGGCTCACCGCAACCTCCGCCTCCTGGGTTCAGGCAATTCTCCTGCCTCAGCCTCCTGAGTAGCTGGGATTACAGGCACGTGCCACCATGCCCAGCTAATTTTTTTGTATTTTTAGTAGAGACGGAGTTTCACCATGTTGACCAGGATGGTCTCGAACTCTTGACCTCGTGATCCACCTGCCTTGGTCTCCCAAAGTGCTGGGATTACAGGCTTGAGCCACCGCGCCCGGCTTTTTTTTTGAGACAGAGTCTCTCTCTATCACCAGGCTGGAGTGCAGTGGTGCGATCTCTGCTCACTGCACCTTCTGCCTCCCAGGTTCAAGCAATTCTTCTGCCTCAGCCTCCCAAGTGGCTGGGATTACAGGTGTGCACCACCACACCCAGCTAATTTTTGTATTTTTAGTAGAGACGGGGTTTCTACTTGGCTTCCCAAAGTGCTGGGATTACAAGTGTGAGCCACTGTGCCCAGCCTGTTGTAGTTTTAAATTGCATTCCCTGAGGACAATTCAGTTAGGAAATGTTTGAATCTTTTCCTTTATTTGCCAGCTTTTGGAATAATGTGGTAATTTTTTTCTGTCTTCCAAAGATGCCTACTGTGTTTTAAAAATATCCTTATGAACACATGGGTTTTAACATATTTGATGTATTTCAGTCTATGTACAGTTATTATTATTATTTTTTGATGCTCAAATTGTCCCTTCTTTGGTCAAGTTGACTCTTGACCCCTCTAGTCAAAGGCTTTACTTTTTTTTTTTTTTTTTTTTTTTTTTAATTTCAAGACTTCTTTGGTGAACAGGTGGTGTTTGGTTACATAAATAAGTTGTTACTTAGTGGTAATTTCTGAGATTTTGGTACACAGTCTGAGCAGTGTACTCTGTACCTGATGTGTAGTCTTTTTTTTTTTTTGAGATGGAGTGTCACTGTATTCACTCAGGCTGGAGTACAGTGGCACCATCTCAACTCAAGCTGCAATCTCTGCCTTCCGGGCTCAAGCAATTCTCATGCCTCAGCCTCCTGAGTAGCTGGGATTGCAGGCACCCACCACTGCACTCAGACATTTTTAGTATTTTTAGTAGAGATGGGTTTCTACCATGTTGGCCAGGCTGGTCTCAAACTTGTGACCTCAGGTTATCCGCCTATCCCGGCCTCCCAAAGTTCTGGGATTACAAGTGTGGGCTACCACGCCCAGTTCCAGTGCATAGTCTTTTATCCCTCACCCCCTCCCACCCTTTTCCCTGAGCCCCCAAAGTATGATTCTTACGCCTTTGTGTCCTTATAGCTTAGTTCCCACTTATGAGTGAGAACATATGATGTCTGGTCTTCCATTCCTGAGTTAGTCCACTTGGAATAATAGTCTCCAATTCCATCCGAGTTGCTGCAAATGAAAGGCTTTACTTTTAACTATAGCTCTCCACTAGACTTCCGGTTGGCTGGCACCCTCATTGCTCTCAGTTGCAGTTCAACTCCTCTGTGGCCTGGCTCAGCTGAGTTACAGGGAGGCGGGGTGCTGGCTAGCACCAGAGCACACTGGAAACAGGACTCATGTGTCAAGGGCTGTCTCCCATTCTGGGTGTGGCCAGGGCAACATTCCTCCCACCCATGCACCCTCCAGATGGGCACTACCCTACCACCAACTCCAAACACACCCTGACATCCCTTGCTTTAATTTTAGCCTGGAGCTCAGACTTCAGCTGCCCTGGGCTTGCCTAGGACATTCTGGAATGGTAAAGGGCATTAATGCTGGAAACATTCAGGCCTACACTTCACTCCTGTTCTTCTACTCACTAGATGAGTTACCTGACCTTCCTGAGACTCCATGTGCTCACCTGTCAAGTATGGGTAATGATAGTTTTTACCCAAAGGAGTGGTGTATAATGTGGGTCAAGTGTCCGACTGCCTCTGACATGTTGGGCGTTGCAAGTCAAAGCTCTATAACTCGCAGGAATCACCTGGGCTTAGGCTCATGGCAGGTGGCCTTTAAAGTGGTGTTTTAGGTTTCCTCGGGAATCAAGCAGTCACTTGCTGACAAAAAAAAAATTCCGTGCACAAAATGCACTCACATCCAGCCTGTGCACCTCACTCCATCACACATCTGTGCTACAGTTCATCAAAATGTCCCTCACAGTGACTCTCTCCACCTCCTCCTTGTTTCAGAGCAACCTTTCCAGTCCTGCAACCCCAGTAAATGAAAGGGGTTCCTACCCATGTGAGGAGAGCTTCCTCCTTCCTGTTTCCTGCAGGTGATGAGCACAGGGAATCTGCAGGCTGGGCTGGGGCTCCTTGCAGGTCAGGCCCTAGAATATTTCCTGCAGATGGCTCACCTCTGCCTGTCTCTGGTTTTTCTCTTGCAGTACAGACCAAGACCAAGACCAAGACCAAGACCGAGACTTGGAGACCTGATTGAGATTTTTCGCTTTGGCTATGAGCACTGGGCCATCTATGTGGGAAATGGCTATGTGATCCATCTGGCTCCCTGTAAGTATGGGTTCTCTTTTTAAGCACAAGGATTGAGATCAAGAATGTGAAGAGATGCACAATTATGTAACTGTCCTCACTGCAGGTCTAGCAGAGTAGGCACTCGATACATCATGCTGAATGAATTGTGCTTTTTCCCGCTAGATGTAGCAACTGCTATTCTTCTTTTGCGGTAAGTTGGTGGAGAGATTATTGACCTTTATTCCATTATAGAGTGGGGTTCAGTCCGAACCCACTCATTGTATGTGGTGAGCATCCCTCCATGGGATCTCGTATGTATTTGTTGTTCTGAACGTACAAACAAGAGGAAGAAGCAGTTACTTTCTTCGGATAGCTTGCAGCTGACTGCATAGTATAACGGAAGGAGTGCATAGGCCTCCCAACTCAACAGAACCAGTTTGGAATCATGGCTTCTCTGTTTACTGACTGTGTGCCTTGAGCATGTGGCTTATGTCACTAAGTTCAGCTGCACTTTCTACAGAGCAGGGATAAGAATCCCTATGTCCCAGCTCATGGAGGGAGGAAATGAAGGAACATACAGGAAAGCACTGGTGCAGAGGCTGGCCAGGGGCTAAGGCAACCTCCCTTTCCATCTGAAGCATCATAGCATCAAAGAAAATGACAAAATACTGGAAACGACTCAAGTGCAAGCCACCAGGGAATTAGACAAGTAGAATAGATATACCTGCATATAAGGGAATGCTATATAGCCATTAAAATAGTTGCACAGCAGGTGTATATATGCACACATCTACATATGCACACATAGACGTATCTCTATCTACATATATAGATGTATATATACACACAATATATAGATGTATATCTATCTACGTATATAGATGCATATATACACACAATATATAGATGTATCTCTATCTACGTATATAGATGTATATATACACACAAGTATATAGATGTATCTCTATCTACGTATATAGATGTATATATACACATAATATATAGATGTATCTCTATCTACGTATATAGATGTATATATACACACAAGTATATAGATGTATCTCTATCTACATATATAGATGTATATATACACACAATATGTAGATGTATATCTATCTACGTATATAGATGTATATATACACACAATATATAGATGTATATCTATCTACATATATAGATGTATATATACACACAAGTATATAGATGTATCTCTATCTACGTACATAGATGTATATATACACACGATATATAGATGTATCTCTATCTACGTACATCGATGTATATATACACACACGATATATAGATGTATCTCTATCTACATATATAGATGTATATATACACACGATATATAGATGTATCTCTGTCTACATATATAGATGTATATATACACACGATATATAGATGTATCTCTATCTACATATATAGATGTATATATACACACAATATATAGATGTATATCTATCTACGTATATAGATGTTTATATACACACAATATATAGATGTATATCTATCTACATACATAGATGTATATATACACACAAGTATATAGATGTATATCTATCTCCATCTATAGATGCTCTGAGTTTCACTTTCCCTGTGACCCAGCCCAGGTCTATGTGTGTATGTGTGCACATATAGATTTAATTCTTACAGAGATTGTCAGGATGAATCAGCAGCTGCTGACAAAGGTTTAAGATTCTTGAGGGAATACGGTGCATAAGGCATATTGTCAATATGACTAATAGGAAGGTATGTATATGCACACACACAGACTTGGGCTGGGTCATAGGGAAAGTGAAAACCAGAGCATCTATAGATGGAGATATATATACAACTCTGTTTCAAGAGTTGTAGAAATACTGCTATATATGTGTATATACTTACATACGTATGTATGTGTATATATGTATATACACATGTATGTCTATATGTGGATGTATATATAAATGAAATAAAATCAAGCTAGAGAAATTTAAAAGGTTTGTTGTACATACAAAAGAACAGTTCTCGAATCCAGAGACTTTGAATTAAAATGGCAAGAAGCTTAGCTTGCAGCAATGATAGCTCAGTTTATAAAGTTATAGAAGTGAGGAAGTACATTGTTTTCTGTGTGATGTGGTGGTGCGTGCCTGCAGTCCCAGCTACTTGGGAAGCTGAGGCGTGAGAATCACTTGAACCTGGGAGGCAGAGGTTGCAGTGAGCCAAGATCACACCGTTGCACTTCAGCCTGGGTGACAGAGCAAGACTCTGTCTCAAAAAAAAAAAAAAAAAAAAAAAAAAAATGGAGAGGCCGGGCTAGGTGTGGTGGCTCACACCTGTAATCCTAGTACTTTGGGAGGCCAGGGCAGGCAGATCACAAAGTCAGGAGTTCAAGACCAGCCTGACCAATATGGTGAAACCCCATCTCTATAAAAAAATATATTTAAAAAAATGTAAAAAGGGAAAAAAGAATGGAGGGACCAGTAAAGAATAATTTGGGCTCCAGAACTTGCAATATTCTGCAAGCGTGAGGAATCCTCTGAGTTGTTTTTCAGTTATAAATCAAGGATAATTTTGGATATTATTTGTTCTTTCTGGGCACAGAAATATTGCTTTTTTAGATAAATTATAACCTAGATAACAAACCATCTCTTATGAAAGTTGAAGCTTATCTTGAGAGATCTTATACCCCTTATAAGCTATTATTATAGGAGACACATTGAGTAAATATCTGAGTTTTCTCTTTAGATTAGGTACACAGAAACAATTCATCTACCTATTGCGTTTCTGGGATCTTTCAGGGGTTTTAAATTTTTATGTAAAACTTGTGGAAAGTATAAGGGAGCCTCAGTAATACTATCTAAGTATACTGTTGACTTCTCCAAGTAAAATTAAAAAAAGATTGACTTTCTCTGTCTACTGGGCTGCAAAAGAAAGCAGAGCGTAAGTCCACAATGTTGACGTGAGGATAGCTTGTTTTGTTTATGGTTACAGCTAGCACTTTGGGGAAATCAGAAGAATTTTAAGTTTTTCATTACATGGTTATGAGTGGGTTAAGACTATTCAACTATGGCTTCCATTTCAGTTTCTCTTTAAGTGTATGTGTGTATGTGTGTAAGTTTGAATATATTTATTCAAATTTTTAAAAATTAGACATTTAAGAATAATTTACAAATAGTAAAATTTATCCTTTTTTTTTTTTGAGACAGAGTTTCACTCCTGTTGCCCAAGCTGGAGTACAATGGCGTGACCTCGGCTCACTGCAATCTCTGCCCCCGGGTTCAAGTGATTCTCCTGCCTCAGCCTCCCAAGTAGCTGGGATTACAGACACCTGCCACCATGCCCAGCTAATTTTTTGTATTTTTAGTAGAGATGGTGTTTTGCCATGTTAACCAGGCTGGTCACGAACTCCTGACCTCAGGTGATCTGTCCACCTTGGCTTCCCAAAGTGCTGGGATTACAGGTGTGAGCCACCATGCCCGGCCAAATTTATCCTTTTTAGTACACAGTTCTATGAGTTTTGACAAATGCATATGCCTGTGTAACCGTCACCATAATCTAGTTATAGAAGAATTCCCTAATGTTCTCTGTTCAGCTGAACCCATGGTTGGAGTGGCCCCAAAAGTGGTGTTAGGGGAGTTTCTTCAGGGGACTGCCCCCCAAAATCCCGAGATGGGGCCAGTTTGGATTCCAAAGAAAGAAGTGCTAAATGCCAGGCTGATGAATCCAAAGGATTTATTAGGGGAACTTTGATGCAGAGGACTGGAGTCCTCTCATTGGACAGCAAGACAGTAGATGGTCTACCCAGGAACGTCTGGAACAAGGGGGTTGGATTATGAGGTTTACGTGAGGGTTTAAAGAACTTGGTTCAAAGCTGGGGCTCATTGCTATGTGCTTAGCAACGTATTTGCTCTTTCAGTGTTTCATGCAACAACCTAAACAACTTTATCAGTGCCTGGGAATGAATGTTAAAGGCTCCAGCTTGGGTTCAAGCCTGCAGAGGGCAACACGCAGCTAGCCGGGTCACAGAGTGTCAAGGCATTCTGTGTTAGTCAGGACAAAGAAAGTGGGGGAAAATTGGGGGACACTACACCTCACCCCCCTAAAATTCCCCCACGCCCTTTTGTTGCCAACCCCCATACATCCACTCACGACTCCAGCTCCTAGCAAGCTGTGGTCTTTTCTCTGTTCCTATGGTTTTGCCTTTTCCAGAATGTCACATAACTGAAACCATACAGAATGCAGCCCCTTTTGTGTCCAGTTAGTTTAAGTCAACATGATGCATTTGAGGGTGATGGATGTGGTAGCATGCGTCAGTACTTTGTTCTTTTTTATTGCTGAATAGTATTCCATGGCATGGATGTATCACCATTTATTTATCCATTCACCAGCTGAAGGACATTTGGGCGATTTTCAGTTTTTGATAATAATCATTAGAGCCACTATAAATATTCCCATGCAGGTTTTTTTTTTTTTTGTAGTGTGAACATAGATTTTTATTTCTTCTGGGTAAATACCTAGGAATGGGATTATTGGGTCATGTGGTAAGTGAATATTTAGTTTAATAAGAAACTGCCAAACTCTTGTCCAAAGTACCTCACCAGCAATACAGGAGAGGGCGCTCTCTGTTGGGGAGGAGGAAGAAACCCATCCCAGAGCTGAGAGACTGAGGGGCAGGAACGGGAGAGTGAGAGGAAAAGGGGAAAGAGAGAGGTGGGGGGGGGGGGGTCTGACCAGTGGAAACAGGGGGAGAGATGTGGGAGGACTAAGGGCAGAGATGGGAAGATTAAGGAGTAGAAAACAGAAACTTAGAAGCCAAGACGGGGAGACACTGCGTTAGGGGATACTAAGGGGTAGAGATGTAGGAGACTGTATTTTTCTCATGAAAAAAAAAAAAAAAAAAAAATGCTGGGCACGGTGGCTCACACTTGTAATCCCAGCACTTTGGGAGGCTGAGGTGGGTAGATCACCTGTCGGGAGTTCGAGACCAGCCTGACGAACATGGAGAAACCCCATCTCTACTAAAAAAAAAAAGAAAAAAAAATTAGCCTGGCATGGTGGCGCGTGCCTGTAATCCCAGCTACTGGGGAGGCTGAAACAGGAGAATTGCTTGAACCCGGGAGGTGGAGGTTGCGGTGAGCCGAGATCGCGCCATTGCACTCCAGCCTGGGTGACAAGAATGAGACTCTGTCTCAAAAAAAAAAAAAAAGAATAAATTATTGGTGATGTATTTTTATATCTGTATTAATCCTGTTTCTTCCAGCCTCCCTTCTTTTAAGAATCTCCAGTCTGTCCAGTTAGACTACTGGGTATGGACTCCTCTGTTTCTCTCCTTGGCAGGGGATCTCTCTGGCCCCCATTCCCGCTCCTGTAGCTGGAGTGAGCTGGGACCAAGACATTTGTTCAAATGTCCTTTTGAAAAGAAAATAAAAATCAGTAAAGGAAAGTATGAATACACACGTAAGTTTAGAAGCTGGTCGTGAGCTAAACTGGCTGTTCAGAGACTGACATTACAACAGGTTTTCTCTAGGCTGGGCTGCTTCTAGCAGGGTCCATTGCAGACCCCTGCGTCCATCTGGCCCTCCATGAGGTTTCTGGTTGCTGTCACTTGGCCACTGTTTTTTTCCAGCTTCCCAGAAGCCTGGGGTCCCCTTTAGAGGCCAATTGGAGAATTTAGAGCTGGTGGGCATGGACATCCCCTGGTCTAGTTCCTCTAACTTGAAAGTGATGAAACCAGGGTCCCAAGGTGAGAAGGGCTTTGTCTGAAGGCACACAGTAAGAGAGCCAGGGCCAGGACCTGGCGGGGCCTGGATTCCCGAGTCAGGCTTCTGTCTCGTTCAGCTGTTTCCTTTCCTACTGTTTCAAAATGCCACCCGTGCCTACTGGGGCTCCCACGGCACTGGCTCACGGCAATGGATTGACGGTTTCTTTTCTTTACCTTTTTGGAGACACGGCCTCACTCTGCTGCCCAGGCTGGAGTGTAGTGACACAATCATAGCTCACTGCAGCCTGTAATTTCTGAGCTAAAGCGATCTTCCCACCTCGCCTCTGGAGTAGCTAGAATTATAGGTATGTGCTGCTATGCACAACTAATTTTTTAATTTTTGTTTTTAGAGATAGGAGCCTTACTATGTTGTCCAGGCTGGTCTCCAACTCCTGGCTTCAAGTGTTCCTCCCACCTTGGCCTCCCAAAGTGCTGAGATTACAGGAACCTGGCCTGGAGTGACTTTTTCTAAGCCACAAGCTAGTGAGGGGCAGTTGGGACTATGGCCTGGGGCTCTTCTGCCTTCTCTTTTTGCCTTGTACCACTCTGCCTTGACCGTTGCCTCTTTCAGGGACATTTGAACTCAACGTGGTTCTTTAGAACTCAGGTTCTTTACTTTAGAAATGAGAAAGCCAGAGCGGACCATAGGGACCCATGGTGACTTCTCCAAAGTCACCCAGGCTTGGGTTTGCCCTGTTTTCAAGTTTGAGACCAGGCAGGATGGGCAGGTCCTTTCACAGCTCATCCTTCTTGACGGTGCTTGGGGCAGTGAGGCCGCTTGGCTTGGAGCCAGCTCTGAGCCCCCCGGGCCCCACCCAAGACCGAACTCACTGTTTGCACAGGTGAAGTTGCCGGAGCTGTTGCGGCCAGTGTCCTGTCCGAGCTGACCAACAAAGCCATGGTGAAGAAGGAACTGCTGTCTGCGGTGGCTGGGAGAGACAACTACCGGGTCAATAACAAACATGATGACAGATACGAGCCACTGCCCATCAACAAAATCATCAAGCGGGCAGAGGAGTTGGTGGGGAAGGAGTCTCACTATTCGCTGACCAGGGACAACTGCGAGCACTTCGTGAATGAGCTGCGCTATGGGATCTCCCGCAGCGACCAGGTGCATCCTCAGCCTCTGTCCCCTTTCCAGCAGCCAGGCCACTTCCTCAGCTGCCAGAGGCTGGGTGCCTGCTGGGGCCAGGGTGGGATGGAAATAGATATGAGCAAGACAAATTCGCAGATATGAAACCCCCGCCCTTGAGGTTTCATATGGAGATAGGCAGGTTGGCAATGTAGACCAGTGCAGTGTGTGTGTGTGTGTGTGGAGGTGGGGGGTGGGGGTGGCCACAGAAGGGAGTCACAGCCTGAAATGGCCATCCACAGCCTTAGAGTCGGGTTTTATGATCCCTACTTTACAGATGGGGAAATTGAGGCTCACAGTGCTTAAGTAACTTGTCCAAATTCATTAAACTCCTAGTTATTGAGTCTCTAGTACATGTCAGCCGTGGTGAAGTGGAGGAAGTTAAACCCACATGTGTTCTTTCCAAGGGACCTGATCAAGGAGGGCTTTGCAGAAGAGGTAATACCCGAGCACAGCCTGATTTGATTATTTTGATTTCTGAAAGAAAATGAGCTGGAGATTACCAGGGAACAGGGGCAATAAGGAGTGTAGCAGAGGGAACAGCGTGAGCCAGGAAGGGGAAGAGCCCAGGTCATGTTGAGCAATCTTTTTCTGTAAAGGGCAGATAGTAAATATTTTAGATTTTGTGGGCCAGGTGGTCTCTGTCTTATTACTCTGCTGCTATAACTTTGCCACAGAAAAGCAGCCGCGGACAGGTAAGGCTGTCTTCCAGTAAGTATATTATTTATTTATTTTTATTATTTATTTATTTTTTTTTGAGAGGAAGTCTTGCTCTGTTGCCAGGCTGAAGTGCAGTGGCACGATCTTGCCTCACTGCAACCTCCGCCTCCCAGGTTGAAACGATTCTTCTGCCTCAGCCTCCCGAGTAGCTGGGAGTAGAGGTGAACATCGCCATTGCCAGCTAATTTTTTGTATTTTAGTAGAAATGGGGTTTCATCACGTTGGCCAGGATGGTCTCAATCTCTTGACCTCATGATCTGCCTGCCTTGGCCTCCCAAAGTGCTGGGATTACAGGCATGAGCCACCGTGTCTGGCTGTGTATTATTTATTTTTTACAAAAATAGTTTGCAGATTGGATTTGACCCATGGGCCATAGTTGGCCAACTTCTGTCTAAGATAACTTTAAATTTATTATTATTTTTTGATACAGGGTCTTACTCTGTCACCCAGGCTGCAGTGTATCACGTGGAGTTTGATCATGGCTCACTGCAGCCACTCCTGGGCTCAAGTAATCCTCTCACCTTAGTCTCCTGAGTGACTGGGACTACAGGCATGTGACACCATGCCTGGCTAACTTTTGTATTTTTCTGTAGACACGAGGTTTTGTCGTGTTGCCCAGGCTGGTCTCCAACTCCTGGGTTCAAGGGATCTGCTTGACTCGGCCTCCCTTGGGATTACAGGCATGAACCACCGCACCCAGTCCAAGTTAACTTAGAAAACCACATATCCCTCACACGTTCTTAGATGACAGCAAACAGTTAAAAAAATCATAAATGTAAAAAATTTGTAAAGGGAAGGATGGAATTTTTGGTATATTGCGTATTACATTTTTGTGTGTGTATTTTCTTCACAATCTGGCAGTTGCGCTTTTAGCTCATTCGGTTAGGGACAAATGTCTTCCATGTAGTTTAATAGCCAAGCCAAGTGTTACTGTCAAGCCAACCAGCCTAATCAGGCTTATCTTAATGTTCAGAAAAAAACCCCGACAAGTTTTCAATTCAAATGAGCATGTTAACGTGCTATTCCACGACAAACATCTCAGTGTAGAGTTCTCATTCTAAAGTAGTAGCTAGATAAGGCGGGAGCCTCGATATGGCTGCACATTCCTTTCTGAAGCTCTCTCTGTTTAGGAGCAATGCATTCTGGAATCCTCGCTTCCTGGTGTCTAGGAGTGTTTACGCCTTAGCCTATGCACCATAGATTCAGGGTGCGGGAAGATCTGGCTCTTCTGTTGTAAGATGGGAGAAGGAGAGGTGATAAAAAGGGGACATGGGCAAGGAAAATCCACACCCTCTGGAAACAAGTGCCCCAGGAGGGATCTCAGGCTATTAACTGAGAGCCTGCCAGGCTGTTCTGGGCACTGGGGCATGGTGCGACGTGCTCTGATGCTTGGCAGGAACCCTGCTGGCGGGCTCGGTCTGTTGAGCTGAGGGAGGGTAGACTTGTCTCTGGATGGGAGGGGTGTCAGAAGCGGGTTGGGGGTGGGCTGCCTTATCATGCATCTTAAAGTACTTCTAGAGGCCGTGCAGAAGCCACAAAGTCAATCTGGAAGACCCCAATTTTAGGAAGTGGTTGGCCCTCTGCTGTGCTTCTGAGAGGTCAGAACTCAAGCGAATGGGGAAGACTCAGGGGAGGCACTTTCCTCTTTGCTTTTCTTTCTTTCTTTCTTTTTTTTTGAGATGGAGTTTTGCTCTTGTTGCCCAGGCTGGAGTGCAATGGCGTGATCTTGGCTCACCACAACCTCTGCCTCCTGGGTGCAAGCGATTCTATTGCCTCAGCCTCCCGAGTGGCTGGGATTACAGGCCTGCGCCACCATGACAGGCTAATTTTTTGTATTTTTAGAGATGGGGTTTCTCCATGTTGATCAGGCTGATCTTGAACTCCTGACCTGAGGTGATCCACCCGCCTTGGCCTCCCAAAGTGCTGGGATTACAGGCGTGAGCCACCACGACTGGCCGAGGCAGTTTTATTTAGTTTGTCACTTGTCCTCGTGCCTCTCTTGTTGAACTTCATCTGCCGCAGGTCACCCATTAACTTGCCTTTCTTTCTTCCTCTCCTTCCTTCCTTCTCTTCTGACTCTGTCTGGAAAGATCCTCCTCTGTCTGTCTGTAGCTCTCACTCTGTAAGAAAATGGGCTCGTGAGAACTGCAGAACTCTCGGCACACAACAACCCCATCTAGCCCCCGCTCTCATAGATAACCAAGCTCTAGCACTGCTTCTAGCAAAATAAGGGTGTGCACATAGGATGACTCTAGCCCCCTTATAAATGCCTGCCTAAGAAAGCTCTCTGCTGCCAGGAGAATTTACCATTTGTTCTAGCCAACACCTGACAAAGACTCTGACCCTTTGTTAGAGTGTTTATTAAAAAGGACTTCTAACTATGAATCCTTCCTCTGTCCCTTTGAAATGTAGATGCAGTCATCTTTTGGTATCCATGGCTGGGGGAGATTGATTCCAGGACCCCCGGAGGATACCAAAATCATCGATGCTCAAGCCCCTGGTATAAAATGGTGTGATATTTGTGTATAACCTGTGCACATCCTCCCATATACTTATTTTATTTCAGAGACAGGGTCTCACTCTGTCACCCAGGATGGAGTGCATTGGTGCTCCACTGAAATATAATCTTGGCTCACTGCAGCCTTGACCACCACACCCAGCGAGCGTGTGTGTGTGTGTGTGTGTGTGTGTGTGTTTGTAGCAATGGGGTTTTGCCACATTGCCCAGACTGGTCTCAAACTCCTGGGCTTAAATGATCCACCTGCCTTGGCCTCCCAAATTATGAGTGAGCCACTCATAATTACGTATAATACTCAATGCAATGTAAATGCTGTGTAAATAGTTATACTGTATTTTTAAAATGTATATTATTTTTTGTTCTTAAAAAAATTTTTTTTCTCCAAGTGTTTTCAATTCACAAATTTTTTCAATTTGGGAAACAATTTTTTTCCCAAAATGTTTTAAATTCCAATGTGGAATCCATGGAAATGGAAGGCTGCATGTCAATCTCTTACAACTCAGAAGTGTCTTTCTCAAGGACCTGAGAGCCATTCCTTTGAAATACAATCATCAGGAAGGATAGAGCCTCTGTCCCCGGTGTCTGTGGTATAGTAGAATCCTAACTTCGATAATTGCCAGCTAGCAGACACAGCTGGCCTCATCGCGTAGTCAGTATTTCACCTCTCTGTCTCTACTAGAGTCCTCGCTCACTCCTCCCCGTATTCCCCCATCTCCCTTTAAAATGTCAGTCACCTCTGCACAAATTGGGATGGAGCTCAGCTCTTTCCCTGCTGTCAGTAGAGACTGAATCAAATCTGTTTTTGCTGTTTTGTTATGTCTGGCTTTATCTTTGACACATGGAAACAATTCTGAGTGTATTTGAATAAAATGGTTCTTTTTTTCCCCCCTCTATGCTTCATATCCATTGATACTCCACAGAAATCTGCTGTTTGGGCACTGGTTTAAGTACTTGCTTCCCTGGCTGTGAAAGGCTTAAGTGCCCCTCTTGGGAAGTCAGGCAGATCTGAGCCTCGTCGCTTGTCAGCTGTGTGGCTTTGCGTGAATTCTTTTTTTTTTTTTTTTTTTTTTGAGATGGAGTCTCACTCTGTCATCCAGGTTAGAGTGCAGTGACATGATCTCGGCTCACTGCAACCTCCACCTCCCGGGTTAAAGTGATTCTCCTGCCTCAGTCTCCCAGGTAGCTGGGATTACAGGCACCTGCCACCACGCCCAGCTAATTTTTTTTTTTTTTTTTTTTTTTTTGGTAGAGATGGGTTCTCACCATGTTGGCCAGCCTGGTCTTGCTGACCTCAGATGATCCACCTGCCTCAGCCTCCCAAAGTGCTGGGATTACAGGCGTGGGCCACCGTGCCCAGCCTTTGCTTGAGTTCTTTACACTGTCCAACCTCAGTCTTCTCCTCTGGAAAGTGGGAATTAGAATGACTACTTCCTGGGGTTGTCAGGCTGATTAAAAAAATACTGGGCCTGGAGAGTTCCAGCACAGTGCTGATATCTAGAAAGCAGCCATTCTCACAGTCTTCACTGCCGGCCCCACCCTGTGTCATTTCCCCCAGTCCCTCCTGTGCTGGTATCTCAGAGACAGTGGTGCAGGCAGGGGTGGGCCCACACGATTGCAGCGGGTTGCCTCAGCTAGCTCCCAACAGCCGTGCTGAGTTGCACCAACCCTCAGGGGTCAGCCTCACATCTCTGTGAGTTTTTTTTCTTTTTCTTTTTTTATTATACTTTAAGTTCTGGGGTGCATGTGCAGATCGTGCAGGATTGCTACAGAGGTATACACACGCCATGGTGGTTTGCTGCACCCATTCCCCCATCATCTACATTAGGCATTTCTCCTAATGTTAGCCCTCCTCAATCCCCCCACCCCCTGCTATCCCTCCCCTAGCTCCCCCCACCCCCCCAACAGGCCTTGGTGTGTGATGTTCCCCTCCCTGTGTCCATGAGTTCTCATTGTTCAACACCTGTCTATGAATGAGAACATGCGGTGTTTGGTTTTCTGTTCTTGTGTCAGTTTGCTGAGAATGATGGTTTCCAGCTTCATCCATGTCCCTGCAAAGGACACTAACTCATCCTTTTTTATGGCTGCTTAGTATTCCATGGTGTATATGTGCCACATTTACTTTATCCAGGCTATTACTGATGGGCATTTGGGTTGGTTCCGAGTCATTGCTCCTGTTAACAGTGCTGCAGTGAACATACATGTGCATGTGTCTTTATAGTAGAATGATTTATCATCCTTTGGGTGTATACTCAGTGGGGTTGTTTTCAGAATGTCTTCTTCCTTTTGCAGAACATTTTCCTGCCAGCACATAAGTGAGGCAATGTTATTCATTAAAGCACATCCTCAGAGCTCCTCACGGTCCAGCACTCATTCCGCAGATAAATTATGAGTGCCGACTCTGCTGGTAGTGGGATCAGCACCTGGGACACTGAGACCAATCCAGGCGAGGTCCCTGCCCTCAAGCCTTGGGCAGTGAGAGTTCCCAGGGGTGATTTCCCAACTTTACACTTGCCTCAAGGGTCCTAGTCGGTCACTCCTGCGCTGTAACATCTGGGCACTGCCCTTTTGTCCTTGTCACAGCTAAGCCCTGGGGTTTATTATGCTTTTTGTTTATTATTATTACTTTTAAAGACAGGTACTCACTCTGTAACCCAAGCTGGAACACAGTAGTGTGATCTCGGCTCACTGCAATCTCTGCCTCTTGGGCTCAAGTGATCTTCCTGCCTCAGCCTCCTGAGTAACTAGGACTACAGGTGGGCACCACCACATTTAGCTAATTTTTAAAAAGTTTTTGTAGATATGGAGTTTTTACTATGCTGGCCAGGCTGGTCTCAAACTCCTGACCTCATGATCCACCTGCCTTGGCCTCCTAAAATTCTGGAATTACAGGCCTGAGCCACTGTGCCTAGCCTATTATTATTATTTTTCAAGACAAGGACTCACTCTGTCACCGAAGCTGAAATGCAGTGGTGCGATCTCAGCTCACTGCAACCTTCACCTCCTGGGCTCAAGTGATCTTCCTGCCTCAGCCTCCTGAGTAACCAGGACTACAGGTGTGCACCATCATACTTAGCTAATTTTTTTTTTTTTTGGTATTTTTTGTAGAGATGGGGTCTCGCCATGTTGCCCAGGCTGGTCTTGAACTCCTGGGCTCAAGTGATCCGCCCATCTCGGCCTCCCAAGGTGTTAGGATTGCAGGGGTGAGCCACAGCGCTCAACCTATTATGTTTTAACACCCACAGGGTGTATCTGGTTTCCCTTCTTTACTCTGTTTTTATCACTCCTATGGCTTTGTTCTTCCATTCACTCTGTGCCCAGCAGACATCTCTCCTCTTTCCTGGGTGGCCTGACCTCTTGGGATCCCCTCTCCCAGCCAATATTGTGACTCGAATGAAGAGGACTGGGCCAGATGGGTTTTTCCTGCACGGTAGTTTACTGGTGTATGTATTGTGGTCTGCGCCGGATGCTGAGTGTGCTCTCCCTTCTCTTCTGCTGCAGGTCACTGATGCCTTCATAACAGTAAGTGTGGCAACAGGCGTCCTGGCTGTTGCAGGCCTTGTGGGGATGATGCTGTTCAGAAGCAAGCGGGAAAGGCAATAAATCCAAGGAACTGTCCCAACAACAATCAATTCTTATGGAAGAATATTGTTTAGCTGGCTTTACTGCTTTGTGTTCATGAATCTTTATTTTAATGGAGTTAAAAGCATAGGGACATTTATTTGGGGGAAATGCAGCTTAGTGTGAATTCTATTACATGCAGCTTAGTGTAAATTGTATTAAAGACACCATTCGGCTCTGCTATGGACTGTACGTTTTTGTGTTCCTCTCACACCCCAAATTCATGCGTTGAATTATAACCCACCTGTGGGAAGGTGTTGGCGGTGGGGCCACTGGGAGATAATTAGGTTGTGAGGGTTGAGCCTCTAGGATGGAATTAGTGTTCTTGTATGAAAAGGAAGCGACCAGACTGGGCATGGTGGCTCACGCCTTTAGTAATCCCAGCACCTTGGGAGGCTGAGGAGGGCGATCACCTGAGGTCAGGACTTTGAGACCAGCCTGGCCAACATGGCAAAACCCCATTTCTACTAAAAATACAAAAATTAGCCCAGCATGATGGTGGGTCACTGTAATCCCAGCTACTCAGGAGGCTGAGACAGGAGAATTGCTTGAACTCAGGAAGCAGAGGTTGCAGTGAGCTGAGGTCACACCATTGCACTCCAGCCTGGGTGACAGAATGAGACTCTGTCTCAGACAAAAAAAAAAAAGGAGACCAGAGCTCACTCGCTCTCCACCATGTAAGGACTGAGTGGGAAGGTGGCTGTCTGCAAGCCAGGAAGAGTCTGCAAGCCAGGTGCTCTCAGCATAGCTGTCACCCTGACAACTGGCTGCCCTGGGCACTTACACCCTCCCTCCCGCCACCACCCCCGGGAAGCACAGCTCTTCCCCTGGAGGATGCTTCCGTGGTGCATCTGCCATCTTTGGTCCTGCCAGCTTCTTCACAGGAAGTGAGAGAATGGAGGGCTGAGCAGCTCCTGACCTTTCTACCCACCACTTCAAGCTTGCACTGAGTGATGCTGCTTCAAGGCCTGAGTCTGTGACATCTACAGGCGGCAGACAGGAACTGTCCTGGGACATCAAGCAAGGCAGGGGGTGAGACTGCCCATGCCGGTCTCATCAGAGAGCACTCCAGTGGCTTGGCCCAAAGAACTGACTTTTGGGTAAAATTGACTTGAAGGGAATCCAGAGCCTCTGCTTAATGGCTGTGTGACCTTGGGTCAGTGGCATAGACGCTGAGCCTAGTTTGCCTTTCTATCAACTTAGTATTAAAGCTACCCCTTCCAGGAACATGGAGATCATGTAGCTTGAGGACATGGTTCGTGGTTCTGACTTCAGAATGTGTAAACACAGAACAGCTGTTGTGGTCAATTTGGGCACATTGGCCAAAACAGAGACAGCAGGAGAAGCTGTGTTTAACATCCTTTTCCTGCCGAGTGCAGTGGCTCACGCCTGTAATCCCAGCACTTTGGGAGGCCGAGGCAGGTGGATCACGAGGTCAAGAGTTCAAGACTAGCCTGGCCAATATGGTGAAACCCCATCTCTACTAAAAAAAAAAAAAAAATTACAAAAATTAGCTGGGCGTGGTGGTGGGCACCTGTAATCCCAGCTACTTGGGAGGCTGAGGTAGGAGAATCCCTTAAACTCAGGAGGCAGAGGTTGCAGTGAGTGGAGATCGTGCCACTGTACTCCAGGCTGAATGACAGAGCAAGACTCCGTCCCAGAAAAAAAAAAATAAAAAACATCCCTTTCTTTGATGAGTTGAAGCTGGAGCCCAGGGCCCCATCCTTGGCCCTTGTTCCTCCACGGTGCACTTTCTCGACAGCTTCCTGCTTCTCCTGTGCCTTGAGGGTCAATGGTCAGGGCTCTGCAGGAAGGGCCAGGCCCAACCATGGTTTGAGTAGATCTTTGCAGGAACTAAGACCCTCCTTGCTAATGTCTTAAATTATTTTCTCTTACCCCAGTAGGAGACTTTAAGTCACCCAAGAAAAAGGATAATAGGGCAGGCAGCTCTGAGAGCTCCCCTGCTCCTCTGATGTTCTGGTTGTCTGACTCCAGCCACCTTCAGAGCACTTTCCGGTGAATGCGCATAAGCAAAACATTTTGTTGTTCATGAGGCAGGAGGGCAGCACTAGGGCTTCTCTCTGTCCTGCCAGCTGTCCAGTCACTCCTGGGCGGGGAGAGGGATGCTGTCTTCGAGAGTGACACACACAATGAAGGACAATCTAGTCCTAGCACACACAGCCCAGGATTCCTGTTTCTTCAGCACTGATCAGTTTTCTTAAACATTTCTTGAGCTGAGACCGGGCACAGTGGCTCACAGTTGTAATCCCAGCACTTTGGAAGGCTGAGGCAGGTGGGTCACTTCAGGTCAGGAGTTCAAGACCAGCCTGACCAACATGGTGAAACCCCGTCTCTCCTAAAGATATAAAAATTAGCCAGGTGTTGTGGTGGGTGCCTGTAATCCAAGCCACTTGGGAGGCTGAGGCAGGAGAATTGCTTAAAGCTCAGGAGGCAGAAGATGCAGTGAGCCGAGACTGTGCCACTACACTCCAGCCTGGGCAACAGAGCAAGACTCTGTCTCAAAAAAAAAAAAAAAAAAAAAAAATTCTTGAGCTGAAAGCCTGCAGAAGGAATATATACATCCTCTTTTCAGCCACTTTTATCTATTTATTTTTTGAGACAACGTCTCTCTCTGTTGTCCAGGCTGGAATGCTGTGGCACTATCTCGGCTAACTGCAACCTCCGCCACCTGGGTACAAATAATTCTCTTGTCTCAGCCTCCTGAGTGGCTGGGACTGCAGGTGCCTGCCACCACACCTGGCTGATTTTTGTATTTTTAGTAGAGCTGGGGTTTTGCCTAGTTGGACAGGGTAGTCTTGAACTCTTGACCTCAGGTGATCTGCCTGCCTCGGCCTCCCAAAGTGCTGGGATTATAGGTGTGAGCCACCATGCCTGGCCTTCAGCCACTTTTCTTAGCAAAAAGACTTGCTAAGACCAGGGACTGTCCAGAGGTGATACAATCATTTAATGAATTTAATGAAAAAAATAAAGTATACATTTTAGTGGAATCTAGTTCATGGAAGTCAGTCCAGAGAGCTCTGGCACTGGTTCAGTGTATTTCTCAACTTTGGTGTTTGTCCAAGGTGGTGATGCTCCTGCTCTGTCATGTGCCACCACACCTGGCTAATCTTTTTTAATTTTTATTTTTTGTAGAGACAGGGTCTTACTATGTTGACCCTGTTGTTACCTATGCTGGCCTTGAACTTCTGAGCTCCAAGGAGCTCAAAACCTCCTTTGACCTCCCAAAGTACTGGAATTACAGTACTTTGTGCACCCCTGTGACTGGCCCTGTTTTTCTTAATTAATAAATTTATTAATTAAGTAAACCATTATCTTTTTTTCTTTTTAAGAGATGGCATCTCACTATATTGCCCAAGCTGATCTCGAACTCCTGGGCTCAAGCAATCCTCCTGCCGCAACCTCTCAAATGCTGGGATTACAGGTGCATGCTACTGTGCTTGGCTTGTAATCTATTGTCTATCGAGTGCTTAGGTGTTGTGCTTGATGCTACGGTCCCAATGGTACCAAACTTGGACTGCCCCCAAATGTCTGCCAGGGAAAGACACATTAGTAAAATAACCACATGGATCAGTGTTCATTGTAACTCTGAGAATCACATGAAGTGCAGGTACATGGATGCCTGAGACTCCTAACGGGGATTTGACCTAGTCACGGAGACCAAGCACACCTTGGAAGGGCCTGGATGCTTCCACTGTCAAGCACACTGAACAACTGATCCCGGACAGGCAATGAAGTCTGGGAAGGTAAGCCTTAGATCCCAAGAAGTGATAAAGCCTTCTTCTCTTGCTGGGCCTTCTGCTTCTTAGGCCTGGACTCTGGGTAGAGCAGCTGGGCCCTCTGATACGGAGGTAGCCCTGGAGCAAGGCAGGCATGGATGCTTCTGCAATCCCCAAATGGAGCCTGGGATTTCAGCCAGAAATCTGAGCAGAGCCCCCTCTAATTGTAGCCATGATAAGTTGTTCTCTTTGTTCTTCAACCTTCCAGTAGCCCTGAGCTTCCAGGGGAGTCTCATGAATCATTACAGCCTGGTCTCCACTGCGTTGGGGAATTAAGGTACCAACCAGCTTGCTCACGCATGAAAAAGTACAGCCCAGGGGAGGGTGATGTCCCCAGTCCTGAAGCCAGAGTGATGGTGGCTGCAGTGACCCCATGGAAGTGGCCATTGAGTAGGGTCACTGGTGGCAGCGGCTGGAGTGAGGACGCGCAAAAACATGGGGACCTGAGCACTTCTGGGACCACACCCAGGGCATGCTGGAAGTCGTGGAGGGAGGTTTAGAGGTAGCTAATTCTCAGCATTCCTCCCAGGACCAGCTTGAGCCATAGCAGTTTGGGCATGGAAAGGATATTACTCCATCTTGTAGTCACAGGTGGGTGAGAACTCAGACCTTTGAACTAAAAAAAATAAAGAACTTTCTAAAGAGAGGGCCAGGTGAAGGAGGTAACTGGGAAGATGCTGGTAGATGTGTAGGTGTCGTGAGGGGATGTAAGCACCCCGTGAGACTATACTGGGAGGTAATTCAGTTTTTTTCACCTTCCTGAGAGTAAAATTAGTGACATGAAATTATGTCGATGTTATGTCTGTGTAGAATGATGGACACAATTCACTGAACATCTGTTACGTATCAGACATGGTGCTGGGCGTCTGGAATGCCTCATCTTATGTGATTCTCCTGACATCACCTAACATGAAATAACTGATGTTCTGAGAATCAAGAGCCTTCTCTAAGGTCACGCAGCTAGAAATTGCTGGAACTACCCAGTAGGTGTTCACTCAATGTTACTTTCCTCCTTTGTGATTCAGAAGTCTACAAAAACATGGTAGAAGTCCTTTCTGAAGGGGTAAATGGATGCTTATTGATCCTTCAGTCTTGTTTTATTAGATCATCCTTTAGCCAGAGAGAGGAAAGTAGCTAGAGAGAGCCCGAGGCAGAGAGCAAGGGTCAGGCTACTGGAGGCGTGGGGAGGCCCATCCCCACTGGGACCTCCACAGCTGCTTCTAACACAGGGTATTGTGACCGCTTTAGGCTGTCACTGGTTTCGGTATCTCTCCATCAGAAAAAAGCTTCCAAGAAAAGCCAGAAATCCAAGAATCATGGCCGCAACTCCGTCAGCCGTTTTTTCCACCTGCAAAGCAAGCAGCTTTTGTTGAGAGTTCACAGCAAGCCCAGGCTGGCACTTTGTCCCTCCCAAGGGCCTGGAACTCCTCTCCTTCTTGCTCTCCTGCCTCCCCTACGGCCTGGCATCTCCTGTCTTCTCCCCTCCCCGCTGGCTGGCTCCGAATCCTCTTCCAGAGAAGCTGTTGGCTGTGTCCCCAGGGCCTCCATTTTTCTGGGCTGAGACCACTTCTTGGTGTTGGGCTTGCCCGGGCTTGTCCTGAGAATGGGCCAATGAAATCCTTTTGAGACAGCTTCCAGGTGAGGACATCTGTTCTGATTTGGGGCAAGGAAGAAGGGTTGTGCCTCGCTTCCCAGGGTCAGAGTGCCAGGGGTCAGACTGGGGATTGGTTTGCAGCCTGAGTCCTACCTGAGCTACACCTTTGCACAGGGAGGGCTGTGGCAGAAGCTGATGGGAAACTTAGGAAGGCCATGGCCATGTGCGTGCCTTGGGGTCACTGTGTACTCTTCCCAACTGCAGCCTGGAAACGTCCAGCCCTACTTCAGCCTAAACTCCAACTCCATGCCTTATCTCCACCTGGGCCTCTAATGGGGCGCCGCAGACATCACGTACCACACCCAACTCTTGATTTCCTTCCCCAAAGTCTCTCCTTCCGCCATCATGCCCCTCTCAGCAAGGGCCCCCATCCATTCAGTCCTGCAGGCTAAGGGCCCTGAGGTGCTACGGGGCCGGCATCACAGGCAGAGGCTCTAGAAACGGACAGCGGAGGTTTGAATCCTGGTTCTGCCACTTATTAGTTGTGTGTTTTGGGGCAACAAATGTGAAAGACTATGAAGGAGGAAGGGATAGAGGCTGTGCCCAGATCTTACGCACAAGTGTTCTTGAGCTCTTACATAGGTTCACGGACCCTGAGTGTCCCTTGCCTGAGTGCTCTTTGGGGGTTTATGGGACCTGTCATAGTCCTGGGTTGGCCCAAATTCTCTTGATGGCCCCCAGAACTTCGGGATCCATTTTCAGCGTAGGCTTTAGAGGGGAAGGATCCTCAGAGGTCCTCCATCCATCCCCTCCTCTGCACATGGAGAGGCCTGGAGGGGAAGGGACCTGTCCACAGAGGTGTGGATTAGAAGCAGATCTGGCATTGGAGCTCAGAGGTCCTGACTCTCAGCCAGCGGGTCTCTAAGAGGCTACATCTGCATCATTCATGGTGATGCAGTGAGCCCAGCCCCATGCAGACGTCCCCAGGGGAGATAGATCATCCAGAGAGGTCCTTACCTGTTTACAGCGGGACTTGCCATATCTCAGGTTGGTAACAAAGTGCTCACAGTTCCTGTTCATAACACTGTACTTCATCTTCTGACCAACCATCCCCTCCGCAGAACTGATGATCTCCTGAATGGGCCGTGGTTTGTACTCACGGTCCAAGCTGTTGTTGACCTGATAGTTACAGCCTTCCACCACATCCTTCAGGCGCTCCCGCTTCACTATGGCCCTGCTGTCTAGGACCGAGAGGGAGGAGCCAGATCCAGAGTACTCATCTGCAATCAGAGGCACACTCACTGGCAGGGGAAGGTGAAGTCAGGAGAGAAGGGCTTGAAATCTCCACTAGGGAGCTACTGGGGTTTATCCTTTCACATATGTGATTAGAGGATTCACAGATTTTGCTTTTTTTTTTTTGAAGTGGAGTTTCGCTCTTGCTGCCCAGGCTGGAGTGCAATGGCGCAATCTCGACTCACTGCAACCTCCGCCTCCCAGGTGCAAGCGATTCTCCTGCCTCAGCCTCCTAAGTAGCTGGGATTACAAGCACGTGCCACCACGCCTGGCGAATTTTGTACTTTTAGAGACAGGGTTTCACCGTGTTAGCCAGGATGGTCTCGACCTCCTGACCTTGTTATCTGCCCACCTTGGCCTCCTAAAGTGCTGGAATTACAGGTGTGAGCCACCATGCCTGGCCTTTTTTTTTTAAAATCAAATAAGGTGTGAATGTTTGTTCAAGTCAGTGAATGCCATGATTGTCTGTGGCTGCTACCATATTCCATTCTATGCATGTATATCACTTATGTGACCAATCCCCTATTAGCAGTCATTTAGGTATTGGAAAAGTTTTCATCATTATAAACAATGATGGCAAAACATACTTATTACCTGTTCTTATACCTTATATACAAAGTGTATAAGCTTTGTACACTTATGTTTCAGAAAAAGATCCAATTCTTTTTGTACCTAATGTTTCAGTTACCATGTTGTGCTGTTACATATACTTCCTAATTTAATCTCCTTTTTAATATTCAAGGAAAATTATCATCTCTATTTAAAAACCAATGTTGGTCTGAGAGAGACATCTGAGACTTTTCTGTGATATGAAAAGTCCCAGAATCAGGATGTGAAATTGCTTCTCTTAAGCCCCAAAGGGCAGATCCTTCCACTGCTCTGAGCTGACCCTGAGGGAATCCTTTGCAAAAAGGGTCTGGCCATCCTACCATCTGGCACGGTTCTAGGCACATAGAGAGGTACAGGAAGAGCCGTCAGCCAATGGAGTCTCAATTCCATGCTATAGTGACTTCAAGTGTTATCTTACTTTTATTAAAATGGATAGCACTTAATGCGCACAATAATTAGGTGTGTTTCCTCCCTTGCCCCTGTTTCTAATGTCAAGGCTGATGTTTCTACTTAGAACCCACTTAAGCAAATCCTGTTGGCTGGGGGCAGTGGCTCATGCCTGTAATCCTAGCACTTTGGGAAGTCTAAACAGGTGGACTACTTGAGCCCAGGAGTTTGAGAGCAGCCTGGACAACATGCGAAGACCTGCCTTTACAAAAAATACAAAAATTAGCTGTGCCTGGTGGCACACGCTTGTAGACCCAGCTCTTCAGAAGGCTATGGTGGGTGGATCACCTGACTTGAGCTTGGGGAAGTCAAGGCTGCAGTGAGCTGTAATCATGTCACTGCACACCAGCCTGGGTGACAGAGTGAGACCCTGTCTCAAAGAAAAAAAAAAAAAAAGGGGGAAAAAAAAAAGAAAGGAAAATTGTCTTAAAAAAGCCTCTTTACACCCTGCAAGTCAGGCACAAAAGGGACCATGTGTCCTCATTGCCATGCTCTGTCTTACGAGGTCCTTGAGGGTCATCTGGATTAAGTGTGCTTGATTTGCTATTTTCCAACAGTTCAGACATTTTTATAGCACTGTCCTGGGAGATGAAGGCTTGGAGAAAACTAGTAAGATGGAAACATCTTGCTCTGATGGCGATGGGAATGGTTTTGTCTAGTGACGATGTAAATGGTAAAAGAGAACATCTAAAGTTATACAGTGGCATTGCCCTAGAGGACATGAACCTGCCTGCACCTACCTAATTTGGCAGTGTCATTGTCTCATTTCTCATTGTTGTTGTCGTTGATTAAGACGATGTCTCGCTCTGTCGCCCAGGCTGGAGTGCAGTGGTACCATTTTGTGATCTTGGCTCACTGCAACCTCCACCTTCTAGGTTCAAGCGATTCTCCTGCCTCAGCCTCCCGAGTAGCTGGGATTACAGGCGTGCACCACCACATCTGGCTAATTTTTGTATTTTTAGTAGAGAGAGGGTTTCACCATGTTGGCCAGGCTGGTCTTGAACTCCTGACCTCAAGTAATCTGCCCACCTTGGCCTCCCAAAGTGCTGGGATTACAGGCATGAGCCACTGTGCCTGGCCTCTGCATTTGTTCTTTTACCCTTTCATTGACTGTCCATACATCCATTTCCTTCATTCTGCTTTTAACTGGGTATGTCATCTTGCTGCTTCTGTTGTTAATGAGGTAAATAAATCATTGACCTTGCTTACTGTGCATTTGTATGAGAATTTTTAAAAAATGTATAAACCTGTGAGAATTGCCTCCGTTAAGGATTCTTAAGTACATAATATCAAGACACCTTGTTCTGTGAAAACATATGAGGCAAAGGATATAATATGGAGGACCATTTTCAGAAACTTTCTTCTTTGAGACCTCAGAAACCTGGTTGGTTTAAGTTGTATGAGACTCTGCATGCCAAGGTAACTGACTTTGAGCTAGAGAGATCCCAAGGCTGAAGCAGTCCAGCTTCACTGCGGGAGGCAACGGCCTCTTTTTCCTATTCTGCCAGGACTGATGGAATCCAGTGTCTACTCCATGGGACATATGTGTACAGTCACATCAAGCATCCTCTGAGAAGAATGTGTTTCCTAACTTGTTTCCCTTATTTAATTTTCTTTCAGTGGCTCTCGTGATCCTATTAATAAATGTTTTGAAAATTATATATTCATCAGTCCTTACTTGGAGAAGCCAGATGGATCACGTAGCCGTGACCCACATAGAGGGCCCAGTGCTCATAGCCAAAGCGGGAAATCTCAATCAGGTCTCCAGGTTTCGGCTCTTGGTGTGGCTGCAACAAAAAAGTCAGAGATGGTGTATACGACCTTCTAGGCGAGAGCAGAGACCCTGGCTAGGGGAGCCGCAGCTCGTCCTGGAGATGCCTTGCTGATGTTCATCAGCTCCTAGCTCCCATGAGATCTCCAGCCCTGTTGTCACTTTTAGAGGCTCTCCTCACTGGCGGCACCGGGAGCTGGAAGCCTTGAAAATGATACTGCGGGATGGGAAGAGACAAGGACCATATGTGCGCACGTGTGGCACATTGCGTGCCGTGCGTGCCGCGCCTGCCGTGCCGTGCTGTGCGTGCCGTGTGTGCCGTGCGTGCCGTGTCGTGTCGTGCGTGCCGTGCGTGCCTGCCGTGTGTGCCGTGCGTGCCGTGCCGTGCGTGCCTGCCGTGCGTACCGTGCGTGCTGTGCGTGCCTGCTGAAGATGCGGATGTGCGTGCGTCCTCAGGAACCTGCTTGGACCAACACTTGCACTGAGGCCGGGAGCAAGGCTGGGGAGGTGAGTCTTGAGCTCTCCGCTCTCTGCAGACTGACCCTTGGTTTCTCATCACTCCTCGTGCCCTGTGCCTATCCATGGCCCTGAGAGCCACCTCCTTCTCAGACCCTGCCCCGTCCAGTTTCGGGACACTCATCTCTTGGAGATGACGCTCTGGGAGACAGGAGCTCACAGCAAGAGCTGGGTGCTCTGCACTCACAGAACAGGCCTCTGTGGGAACTTGTCATAAGATAACTGCACCCTCTCCACAGCCCCAGGGGAAGGCATAATCATCTCATTGCACAGGTGGAGAAACTGAGGATCAGAGAGGTGGAGGGGTTTGCCTGAGGACACTCAGCTGGGAGGAGGCCAAGCTGGGTCTTCCCTGAGCACCCCTCACCCTGGTCCTGTCTCGCCCACCTTCTTCCCCTTCCTCAGCTCCTCCCCACTTTGCCATGTCTCTCTGCAGGGCATAACAGCCTCATAGCCAGAGGATTTTTCCATTTTGCCCTCTCTGTGCCTGTCCTCAGTGGGGGTGACGGCCTCCTCCTCCCTCATCTCAGGATGTCCCATCATGGACCCGGGGTCTGCTCAAGGTGAGGTCCGGGGCTCTGCTGTTTGTGGATCAGCTTTCATACTGAAATGGAGGATTTCACTTTCACTTTTGATACTATTTAAATCTCACTTAAATGTTTTGCCCTCTTCCTCAGGACAATAATCAGTCACTAAAACCAATCATGTGGACTCCAGAAGCTTCTCCTGGTTGGTGTCCTTGTTAATATCCCACCCAATGACTTGGTTCAGGCAGCCCCATGCCTGCCTCTGTGACCCCCACAGCCACCTGACCAGCCCCTGCCTCCTGTCCCTGCCACTCCATATCCAACCCCTCAGGACCCAAGCCAGCCTTCCCAAGGGCACATCTGGCCATGACCTTCCTCTGGCCTCAGGACTCAGGACACAGCCTGTGGGCAGCTCCAGGCCCTTCCTGACCAGCCCTTCCTCACCCTCCTCTCCCTCCCTGGGCTCTGCACCTGCAGGCCCACTGAGTGACATCCCAGCCCCTCACCACAGCCCTGGTTCTGGCCTCTGCTGCTCTGCACATCTGGGTCTCTCTGCCTCCCTCACTTCCCTGCACCCACTCTTCCTCTTCCCCTCCCTCAGACTCCGTCCACCTGAGAGGCTGCCCTGATGGCCCCAGCCTGGGTCAGCTGACCCGCCACCCCACTCCAGGGGCCTTTGCTCCTCTCTGCAGGAGTCAGGTTGAGCTGAAATTCCTTGTGCCTGTGTGTGCACCTCTGGGCTGTTGAGCTCCAGGCAGGCAGGATCCTGTGAGCTCCTCCCTCCCTCCCTCCCTCCATCCATCCCTCCATCCCTTCATCCCTCCCTCCATCCCTGTACCTCCAGGATCCAGTGAAGGACATGGCATGGAATGGGGCAAAGGAAATAGACATGAAAGAGGGAGGGGAAAGGAGCAAGGCCAGGACTCCTGCCCAGCTCCTCCTCTGTGCATCAGGGCCCTGCAGGACCCAGAGATGGTCTCCATGTGGGGAGAGAGAGAGGCTTTTAACCATAATGCTGACTGTGTAAAACCACAGTCAAGGCACTGGCAGCAGCAGCTGGTGGCCAGTGAAATATGAGCTTTGGCCTAAATAAAGAAATGGCTCCCTATTAACAGCCCTGATTTGTTTTGGCAGCAATAAAGCCCTTCCCCAGAACCAGGAAGTGCTGTTGGAGTGGGCTGCCCTTCAGAATTTGCAGGACTCTTTACTGGAATAGTTTCATTTCTGGTAATAGCCTGAGTTCAGCTGTTCCTTTTCAGTCACACACCGCTGAGCTCAGCCTGCTCTCCCTGGAGCTTCTGCCCATCGGTACATGGGGGCTGATAGGAGGAGAGATTTCAGCATTCAGAATGCTGCTGAGAATTCACCTAAAGAGGGCAGTGCTACAGAGGAATGAGGAGAGAGAAAGCACTGTTTGGAGTTAAGGAACTGAGTCCCATTCTCAGCAGAAGCAGACAATGGTGGGATTTGCTCACTTCCCACCACCCAGGGTCCCCCACCTGACCAAAGCCTTCTCCACTGGCACCCCACAGCTCTCTACTACATGGGGAGGGGGGCGCGGTCTGTGACAGATACACAGGAGGTGGGCTCTGCTCAGAGCCCCACTGTCCAAATGGATGGATGCACTGTTAAAAGACAAATACAGTTTTCCATGACAGCCTTCTAAAGGCAAGCTCTGGAGCTGTGTGCCCAAGGCCAGGAGCCCAGACTGAGGCCTTTCCAGTGGGGAGCTGCCCACCTGCTGTAGAGCCAGTAATGCAAAGTTCTGGGAAACTTACCGAAGCCATCTTGAAGCCAAGGTGAGGTCTGGGGCTCTGCTGTTTGTGGATCAGCTTTTATACTGAAATGGAGGATTTCACTTTCACTTTTGGTACTATTTAAACCTCACTTAAATACTAAACACTGTTCAAGAGAGACAACTGTTTAAAAATGAGATATTTCTTCAGATGGAAAGACTAAGACTTTCCAACACAAGCCATGGACTCATTGGTGCTTTAAAGCCACCTTACAAGCAGCAGCGAGAGTAGAAGGGGAACCCTGCATTTCTGCCCCTGCTTGAGAAATAAAGGTCTCTTGTAACAAGAACCCTGGGCAGCTCTTCCTACCTCAGGAAGGGGAGAGATATGGAGGCAGGGAGATGTCAAACCCCAGTGCACGCCATAGGACATTGTCTTGTAATGACACCCAGAAAATATGGGGCAAGAAGTCTCTGGGGAAGACCAGAGGAGCTGCTTCACGCCATGGGGATGGCCTAGAGATGAGGGCTACCTTAGGCCACGTGGAACACAGGAGCTCATGGCTCCGTAAAAATGCATGTGGCTGCAAGAAGCCGAACTAAACCCAAAGGGGCCTCAACACCTTGCACACCCGTTGTTTCGGTAACAGAAGGGCAGGAAGAGGGTGACTCAGGTTGGGTCTAGTGGCTCACCAAGGTCGGCAAGGACTCAGGCAGGCTCTCTTCATTGCACTGGTCCTGGCTCTGCACTGTTGCCCTGCAGGGACTCCCATGGCTGTAGCAGCCTCGAGTGGCCCATTTTTCACCTGGCAATGCCCGAAAGATGGAGGGAAAGATGATTCTGATCATTTGTCTTTTTTCAGGGAGTAACGTCCCTTTCTCCATTGGCCAGAATTGGGTCATATTTCCACACCCAACCAGTCATGGGCAAAGGGGAAGGGGCCACCCTGCTGGGCTGAGCCCAGCCCAGTGCATCACCTGGACCTGTGGGAGGGGCTCCTGCTGCTCAGGGAGCCTCACAGCCAGGGAGACGGTGACAGACAGTGGGGTGTGTGTGCAGAAAAAGCTGCTGGCTAGGGAACCAACACCTGAGACACAACCACTTGTTTACCGTCTGCCATAACAAACAGGTTCATTCTAAGGCTGCCAAAAACGCTGGAACTGGTTCTCATACCATCAGTCTGCTTCCGTGTCGCAGCAGGCAGGAAAAATGGGAGATGAGTGACTCCCTGGAGCCTGGAAGAGAAAATGGCAGGCCTGCGGAGGTGGCAGAGCTCTTATCAGAGACAATTCATGCCTGGGAGCCCCAGAAAAGGCACCCCCTTTCATCAGCCCCCAACTGCCCCCAGGATCCCTTGATCAGATAGCGCCCTAGACTTACAGGTCCAATGAGCATCGGCCCCTCTGTCTTCTTTCTTCCTTGACCCCAGGCCTGGTACTGTGCATTCTGTTTCCAGGTGAGCTTCATTTGTAAAGGAAATTTAAGGGTCACTGATCATACACCTCTCTGTATTAAGGTTATGTTCAACATGGAAAAGGAAAAAGAAGAAAGCAAGCTGCAAGTCCTTGGCTTTTACAAGTAGTATCACTCTGGGTGGTGTCTCCCCTCTCCTCATGTCAGTTATCTCCTCTTGAAGAGGCTGGGTGTCATCTTTCACGCCTGAGAGCCTGTGAATCTGTGGATCTGGAAGTACAGAAGGATTGGGGACCCTGATCATACCTGGCCCAGCTGGAGTCACATCCATCACGAGACTCAGGCTCTGAGGCCCAACCTCAGGTTGAAAGTTGCCAGATGGATTTTGCAGCCTGGTCTGCGCCTCTTCCCTCCCCAGCTCCTCTGGTGCCTCACCATTCAGAATGTCACTCCTGCCACACCCTTCCTGCCTTCTTTCCTCCTCGGAGCTTTGCTGTCAGGTTTGATCTGCGTTTGAGCTGTTCCTGACATTGGTAACATCCTGAAAAATATTCATCAAGGTTTGGGATTTATTCCATGTCTTTGCCCCTCAGCCGTTTCTAGGATCCTCTCTATGCTGGCCAGTGACAGATCAGAGTCTCACCTCTGGCGTCAGCTAGGAGAGGAGACAAAATGTCTCAGGGAGGAGGGGGTACTGGTCCTTACGTTGCTCCGTAGGTGAGCAAATGTGAGGGGTCTGCTGTGGGACTCAACTCTGAGATGACACGACACACTGGTGCAAAGCCCAGCACACAGATGGACCTCACCTTATATCTTTATTCAGTAGGTATCTTCTGAGCACCTACTATGGGTCAAGCTCTGTGTAGGCACTCAGGATCTATGTGTCAACACAACAGATAAACACGAATACTGTTGTGGATCTGACGCTGGAGAGACAGACATTTAGTGAAATGGATATGATGTTAGATGGCCAAATGTTGAGAAAAATGAAGGGAACGGGGATAGGGTGTGATGAGGAGGTGCAGTTTTTAGTAGAGTGGTTGGGGACAGCTTTACTGAGCTGACTTCTGAGTAAGGAACTCAAGGGGATAAGAGAGTGAGCCCTTCGCATGTACATGGGAAGAGTGTCTTAGACAAGCAAACAGTGGTTGCTGAGGCTTTGAGGCTGCATGTGTCTGGCAGGGTATTTAAAGCCAGGGAGCAACTCACAGGGGATGACAGCCGAGAGGTGACAAAGTTTTGATCTATATGGGGTCATTCAGGTGGTTGTGAGGGTGCTGATTTTTACTCTGAATCACATGGGAGCCCCCTTGACTCCACAGGAGAATTGACTCCACAGGCAATAGTGTTTGGCAGTATTCCCACAACCGTGGCAGCAGTGTGGGAAGAAATGATTGGATTATTGATATATTTTGATGGCAGAGTGTATTAGTCTGCATGGGCTACTATAACAAATACCACACATTGAGTGGTATGAAAATACATTTCTGGGCTGGGCACGCTGGCTCACACCTATAATCCCAGTGCTTTCAGAGGCCTAGACAGGTGGATCACTTGAGCCTAGGAGCTCAAGACCAGCCTGGCCAACATGGCAAGACCCTGTCTCTACTAAAAATACAGAAAAAAATTAGCCAGGCATGGTGGCACGCACCTGTACTCAGCTACTTGGGAGGCTGAGACGGGAGGACTGCCTGAGCCCAGGAAGTCAGGCTGCAGAGAGCTGAGATTGTGCCACTGCAGTCTAGCCTGGGCAACTGGAGTGAGACCCTGTCTCAAAGCAAAACTAAACAAAACGAAAATCCGTTTCTGTTGTTTAGGTTAGCATGCCTCTGGATTTCCCTCAAAACTCTGCTGAGTGGTGTTGCTGTTCTTGGGCAAAGCTTCCAGGGGCCGCTGTGGATGTCACGAGGAGGCCTCAGAGCTTACTTGGGCAGAGCTTCTGCAGGTGTCTTGCCAAGGTCAGTGTCTGCTGTTTTGATGGCTCTCTGCAGGAGTGGCCATGGTCATGATCTCAGCCACCTTTTGATTTCACTTTCTCTTCAGGTCGTGGGGGTGTGTGGCCACAGTAGATGTTATCTGATTACCTCAGTCCATTATACCTATGTTTATCATTTTGAGGGGTCAGCAGTTTCACAGTGGGCTGAGTCACCAGTCCTAAGTGACTCCATTTTGAAATATTCAGGATCACAAAACTCTTTAAGAGAGCCCCACAAAGAGTCTGGATTCAGCAATCCCAGAGTATGGGTTTTTGCCTTGTGACACAATAAAAAATTTTATTTTTAAATAAATATATGCCTTGTAGCAGAATAAAAATTTATTTATGCCTTATGGCATAATAAAAAATACATATTTTTGGTTTTTACCCCCAGTTCCAGACACAGAGCTCCTCAGACCCTGGTAATTTCCTGAGTGATAGGTTGTCTTGTTATTCAGGAGTCTCTGTCAAACCAACCTGAGTTTATGCTAATGAGGTGACTCTTGGTTGAGGAGTGGGAGCTGGATAACTTCAGGATGGGGACCAATCACCATTATTTAATCAATAATGTTTACATCATGAAGTCTCCATAGAAACCCCTACATGACGGGGTTGGGAGAGCTTTGGGGTGGGTGAACACACTGGCCTTGCGGGAGAGGGCATGGTGGCAAAGATTCTCTGCTTGACCACATTTTAGTCAGGCTCCCAAACCTCTTCCTAGGCCCATCTGGACTTCTTCGTAAAATCTAATTTTAGCAAAGGACCCTGCTGAGTTGGTATAGCAAGACAATACCTGACCAGGTTTATCCTCCTCCACTGTCATCCAAGTGAAGTCTCATCACCCCAGCCTGTCTTCAGCAAGAATCCTGTTAGTGTGGTTTAACCAGAATCCCTCTTGCCCCTGAGGTTTCCTCTTCATAATTTTCCATCCATCCACCAACCTCTAGCTTCTCCTTGCCTCTAAATTCCCACTTGCCCATGCTGTATTCAAGTTTGAGCCTCATCTCTCTCTCTCCTGCTGCAAAATCCCATTGCAGTGGATATCAAGCTTGTATCATTAGAGAATTTTTTTCTTTAACAATGGAAGCCCTGCACAACCACTGTCCCCATATCTTGCCTTATTAGTTTCTTCCATTTGGGCTATTCCTGAGTTGTATCCTTTATAATAAACTGACAATTATAAGTAAAGCACTTTTCTAAATTTTAGAAGTTGTTCTAGGGAATTATCGAATTTAAAGAGGCTTTAGAGAACCCCAGCATTTGTAGTCAGCCAGGTAGAAATGTGAGTAGCCCGGGAGCTCCATCTGCTGCTGAGCCTGGTGCCCCGTGTGGAGGCTGAGCCTGACTCTGGGTAGTTAATGTCAGAATTGAGTCGGATTGTTGAACACACAGTCAGTGCTGGAGAACTGCAGCGGGATTGATTGATGTGGACAAATGACATGTATTTGGTTGTTATCAGAGGAAACCACACATGCCTACTTCTGTTACTTGAAAAAAACTGGGGTTCATTGACTTGGTAACAAACGACTATTCATGAGAACACAGGTGTTGATCAATAGGAGTTTTATTACTTGGTGTAAGTAAGGAGGACCCTGGGAGGATTCTCCAAAGCAGTGTCTTCCCTAGGAAAGGGGACAGGAGGGCTTTATGGGTGATGGAGAGGGGAGAGAGTGCATCATCACACGCAGAGGAGTCCCAGTCAAATAGCT